TTATTCATAGTTTGGAGACAAGGATTTACTCGACTTTAGTGATGGTCTGTGTCTGAGTATCCAAAACACAAATATCTCCGGTTGTGAAGGCACTACAGGCGCCCTCCACTGCTATCAGACTCGGAATACCGTATTCTCTGGCAATGACCGCCCCGTGAGATATGGTTCCACCGATTTCTGTGATAATACCCGACAGTAGAGGGAAGTATGGACTCCAACCGATGTCCGTCGAGTATGTGATCAGTATATCTCCCGGCTATTCATATAACAAACAATTCAATACTTAAACAAATAGTTAATTAAATTAATTTCAAAAACTTCTTAAATACCTGTATATTGTCGGCATCAGTGATATCCTCAGAGACACAAACTCTAGCCTTTACTGATCCATTACTGACAGGCGTTCCCCTCATCTGAATCATACCGGTGCCCAGATTTGGTGGTATAATACTGTCATCAAACTAATGATACAAATAATTTGAGAAATCATTAAATTTTATGTTAAACCTCTCATTAATTCATACATTTCTGGGTCTCATCTCCGGGCCCTTCAGGAACTCCTCAAACTTGTATTTATCTATTTTTGGGTACAACCGCTTCCGATGCCTGGCCTTTGATAGTATTAACGGATTCCTGTCTCCATCACAAAGACTTACCACCTCTTCGGCGGTTAAGTAGAAGAATGTATCCGTCGATGGTATGAGTCCTTCATTAACCATATGTCGCGCCAAATACCGGAAACCCTGGCGTTGTCTGTGAATTAACCAAATCATGAAATACTTCGACAGTTCCCGATATCCCACTCCACTCCGACTCCACGGGAGTAATAGCTTTCTAATCAGTAGTTTTCGTGCAAATGATAGCCGGGTCTTGAGCTCATCGATCACTTGATCCACGGATTTGACTACTTTTGGCTCCAGATGTGACTCATTGGCCGACAGTAATGCCTGCGAATGTATTCAGAGGTAAGATATCACAGAATATTGTGTCAAACATTTTAATTTACTTTTATGTTTCTAACGCAAGGGATGGGATTGTCGGCCCAGGGATCGTGCATAGGATCCAATTCCCTATATCCCCGGTGACCATGAGTTTGTAGAAATTGTTTGAATTTATGTGAGGCCTCATCCCCGGCCTCCATGAGCACAGAGAGCGCCTCCTCATCGCTGAGTTGTCTAAATAAGTGTTTATCGGCGACAGAGACCGCGATTTCCCGCAAACTGTTGGGCACTTCAGCGCTGATCACATCATTGCACGAAGAGATCATTAAATTAAAGTCCGACTCCAGGTTTGGGTTGTTTTCTATGCGATTGAATCAAAATGTTATTCAATTATTTTTAATCACTAATAAAATGATAGAGTAATAGGTTTTGATTCAAAAATTTTCTATTAGTAATAATCAATTAGTTTAAGGACTAGTGATTATTGGTATAAATGAATTGAATAATAAATAAATTATTCTTGCTATTGTTATGAGTTAAGTAATTATGTGCAAGTTATAATAATATAAAATTAATTATACTGCTAACCCTGTGCGGCCTCCATAGTCAACCTCAAGAGCATGTGTTTCAATGTGGATCCTATTGAGATGGGTCCGTGTCTATCAAACTGAGCCGTCACTAAGACGTGATAATCGGCAACAATTGTGTCCAAAATTTGCTTAGATGTGGACAATGGTCTCAGTTTGGACACCAAGTCGTACTTCATGTCATCCATGTATTTGGTTTTGGTTTTAATCAGATTCCTGGGACCAGTTATGATCGCATAAACCATATATACCAATGCCTTAATTGGTGTCCAAAGCGGTAGATTAGCCTCTTTTCTGATCTCTTTGAACGTGTTTAAGACATCCGGGTCCTCAATGTGGTGACCAATGAGGGCCACTACTGCCTGACTCGCGGGAACCGATTCTGGATAATCTGTGAAGAAGTCAAACGGACCCTAGAAATAGGTTTAAAATGTTTTAACAAAAATCAATAACAAATTCACATAATATTCATACACTCGTTAAGTTAAACATCATTTGATTGTATTGGACGCCCATTGCCGGTGTGAATGGATTGTAATCCTCTTCCCTATACCTTCCCTGCGAGATCCCGGAGCGCTGATTGAAAACATAAATAAAATTAACTTTAGTTTAAAACATAATTAATTAATATAATACATAAATTAATTGATTTTATGATAAACTATGATTATAAACAATTGAGAAATGACCATGAAAATGATCCTGGCTTACGAAAAATCCATTTCTATTGGCAAAGGTCCAGCTGAAGACTATCCAAGATGATGCTCCGGGAAAATTTTCGCCCCAATGGGCTCGGGTGTAGATCTCGTACTCGGATTTGTGTCCGGAATCCATTTCATGCATAATCTCGTATTCCGTGTAAGAGTTGTCTAAATTGGTTACGGGTCTTGACTGAAGCATAAATATTTGGCCCCCTTTTAGCCCCCACTCAATATCTCTGGCGTTTCCGTAATGTCTGTGAATCTAATGATTGCATAAAAAATAATATACTATTTATGATAATTAGAAATATATAGAGAATATTCCGGACCTGAAGTCCAATATCTGCCAAACGTATCAAATCCTCATCTCTAACGCAACAGTCGGTGCTGTTGTCGACCACTTCCTCAACAGTGCCACCGGTTTTTGATAATACGATTGACGTCTTCTTCTGTCCGATCACTTTAGACACAATTTCCGTGACATGTCTTCGTGTGGACAGGGAGTTGGACTTAATGTTGACGGACAGTCTGATTGTGTCGGGTTCTGCTGACGCCGACACCACTGACTGAGTATTGGATCAAATAAAACACACATTACTATCATTGTAAACATGAATATCAGGGTCCACTCACTTCGCCCAACCCATAGTTGCCGGTGATCTCCAGTACCCTCTCATCACCGGTGATGGGATCACAAGTGAACATAACTCCCGCCGATTGGCAGCCAATCATCTCCTGTATGACGACAGCCATCGGACTATTGATAGGCTGTCCGTAACCCCTCTTATACTCGACGGCGATGTGCGAGAACTGTGAGGACCAGCACTTCATGACCGACGAGTAGATCTCCTCCAGACCTCTGACGCCTAAGTATGTGGTCATCTGTCCGGCGGCCGACATCTCCTCGGAGTCCTCCGACGCTCCCGAAGATCTGACGGCAAATAGTTTTGTCTCAAAATCGGCGAAATTGTCACTCAATTTGTGTTTAATTTCTTGTTTTATAATTTCCGGTAATTTATGACTCGATATACAAGTCATTAATTCCTGGCATTTATTCTTTAGGTCTTTTGGTGTCAATTCTGTCGATTCCTCCAATTCTTGGATCTCATGCGACAGATCTTTGTATTCCTCGAGAAGTCGTTGATATGCATTAGTGGTCACAACCACACCATTGGCCACAAGAAACTTATTTTCGTAGTCTTCTTGAGCTAACTGTTCGCTGAGACTCATGAGGACAGCCAATGAGCTACCTTTCCCTCCGCTTATATCAACACGTTTTGCGTTCACTTCATTCAAACCCAATACTAGTGAGGAATCCTTTCCTATGCTCTCAGGGATTGTGAATTCATTTTGGAATTCTGTGTCATTTTCGCTGAATATATAACACATTCCTTAATGTAAAGAATATTCTGTTAAAGTATTTTCAATGAATTAATTTATTACTACTGTATGCTTACCCTCAGTTTTGTTAACTAAAAGTTTTTGTGCCAAACTATGTTCAATCACTTGAATTTCAAACTTGTATTTCTTTTCGCCAAACTTTGCTTTGAAATTAATGTTTGGATTATTTATTAAATCATCAATAAACCTGAAAAGATCACATCACAACTGGTCAGCCACCTTTGCTGGGAAAGATAATTTATCCATGGGTTTGGCCATGAGTTCAGATAATGATAAATTATATTTAGGATTAAGTTTGGGTTAGGGATATTTAACAAAAAAATAAGTAAATCTTATGATAAACTAGTAAAACAAATATAAGGTTACCTTTTTTAGTATAACCACAGATTCTGGTGATTTTTCTACTAAATGTGTGTTTCATTGGAGACATTAAATACTTTTTACTTATAGATCCCCAGAAGTATAACACAACCTCTGGATCCGAGTCCACCCGAAACGTGCCCTTCATTTGACCAAATTGTGTGAATCGGTCTTCGAAGTCATTGCAAGAATTGTGACATTTCGGTGATAATGACCACTCGTTGGCCATAAAATGGTCATCAAAATCAGTGGTAAAATCATAGACTTTGGAGACGGCATACCACAGGAACCGGAACCTCACGTAAACCAGTGTCCCGTCATTTCGGGTGAGATATCCCCTAAACTTAATCCGTTTCTGTCTGAAAGGCGATAATATCTCTAATCCCAGTCCACTGACTCTGAACTCATTCCTTCGGTACTCGACCTCCGAGTCCTCCTCTAATGTATAGCTATTACTGTTGTTGTCATCAAATCTCAAACTAATTGATGCTTTGATTTGATTGTCCACTCCTTTTGGTCTCCATTTGATTGCAATATAAATGCTTTGTTNATTACTGTTGTTGTCATCAAATCTCAAACTAATTGATGCTTTGATTTGATTGTCCACTCCTTTTGGTCTCCATTTGATTGCAATATAAATGCTTTGTTTCGATGAATTCACGCCATATATCAACAGATCCTCGCATTTATGCTGTTTATTGAAAAGTTTGGTTTCATTAAATTTATTATTATTTTATAATTAGTTTTTAATTACTTTTCAAAATTAAGCCTTCACTTAAATGTATCATTAATTGCATATTTAAAAAAGTTATAAAATTTTAAATTATAATATAAAATTAATTACCTGTATAATTAATATACTGTATATAATACTGTATATTAAAAAATACAGGTAATTAATTTTATATTTAAAAGGTAGAAATATTATAATTTATAAGTTTGTAAAAGTTGAAAAACAGGTCTTGATAACAATTGATTTGTAAAAAACAAATATTTATTTAACTTTCCTAATGTACTACAGTACTATGCATTATATAACTAGTAAGCAAAAAAGTAAATTTTAATTTAAAAGTACTAATAATTTATATATATTTAACTGACTCGTGAGGGCATGTCGTACTGCCACTCGTGAGGGAACGGTAGTACTCCGGAGTCCCATATATTATCCTTCCAGACGTCGTGTCTCACAATTCTGTGACACTTCCGACCCTTCCGTCTCCACAAAAGTCTTGTCAACGCTTTTAAATACGTGAATATCTTGCCATTCATATCGCAGTTTAATACACTTATGACCATAAGTATTGGTACCGCTATTATAGCATCCATTTGATGCAAAAAAAACTATTTTCAAAATACAGTTTAAAATATTTACACAAAATTCTTGAGTCGATGTCTGTAGTGATGAACTGAATGTGAAGTTTCCTTATATTAAACACTCGTTTACACCGTATTTATCCTTCACTTGTATCGCATATGAAGGGGAGTTGAGTGTAATAGAAACGTCCTTGACACTTTTGAACTCAACAAATGGTTCAGCACAGTGTGCGCAAAAACGCGCAATGTTTGTGTATCGAGTTTCAAAATACAGTAGCTTGCGTGTTTATTGTATAAAACATCTGTAGCTACTATTAATTATGTTGTTTATCACTTGTAAACAATAACTACACTGTTAAGTTTAAAACTAATTAAATATTCGTTATGTATGTAGTATGTTAATACACAATTGTAGAAATATTGATTTTTTATATAATAGTTAGAATATTATTTTAGATATATTGACACATTTAAATGCAGTTACTCAAAACACTGAGTTGCCTAATGAAAATGAGCATGCTCTGTTTAGTGGTAGTTTTTTACATGACATGTAACTTACATTGTAAGTTAATCTATTTCTAATTATACATTTTTTCTAACACACAAATAGGCAGATATTTTTGGGGTTTATGTTTTTGACAACTTATTATCTAAAGTATAATTTAAGACAATTTGTTATTTTTAAATATAGCAACATTAATAATGTTTTTCAATCCACTCAAGTTATAATAAAATATTAGAAACTATTATGTTTATAAATTAAAATAGATTTTTTCAAATCATTGGGAAAGTATATGTCAATCACCAAAATGCCCACATTTTCAGCCCTTTCTTGTGGACGACTCGGCATCAACCGAATTGTCAGACATTTTGATTAGTTTTTAAAAATCTAGAGAAATACTTATAAATAAAAGGGAAAGGAGGGAATGGAGGGAAAGGGAGACTATTTTTGCAACAAACTTGTCATACGAGACATCATATAAAATGATATTAAAAGTTTTTCTGTTTGCCCTATTATTAATACATACTACCGTAGTACTAATGAATTAATTTCATTAAAATTAATTTATATTATACTAAAACATATTTGTTTAATAATTTAGTAATTTATCTCATTTTATTTGATCACATATTAATAGCAACATAATGTATATAAAAATACAATTGTAAGTTAATTACCGTACAATATCATTTTTGTGTCATCTATACTAATTAACTTATTATTTATTTTTCATATTTATTAAATTATTTTCAAGATTAAGTTGCATAATGTATACATCAATGGCTATTCACAAGCCATTGAGCGCACGGCTCCGGGAGTCCGGCAATGACACCACCGATCGGCTATTGAACAGCCCTTATGTACGGCGAGTGTTGATGAGGGGTCCCCTAAATGAGCGAAATATAGCAATAGCCCACTTCACCGTTAAGGAGGGGTACGACCTGGGACCCATATTTATTCAAGCACTACACCGTGGCTTAAACTTGACTACCATTCCCACCGAGAGAAAGTTTTTTGATATAGCTGTAAGTACTAGTACGGGGTGTTGCAACATGAGGTACCATATTTGCGGGCTTATATCTCAAAAACTAAATGAGATGGAATATTATTGTGAAGTGGGTTTATAAGAGTAAAGAATGGCATTTTAAAATCTACATTGATCACTTTTTTGTTCCATTTAAAAATATTATTTTAATGGAAAATCTTGCAGAGTAGTTTCAGGCTGAGCAAAAGGAGATAGGTAAAAACTTAACATAGCAATTCTGAAGAGGAAAGTAAGAACTTTCATCTGTGGTATAGTATGCTAAAATTGATCTTGTGGTTCTCTTACAAATCGCCCTTGAATATATGGAATTTTTATTGATGTCTATGGAAAATTCAATGGTAAAATATTCAAACGTACATTTCTATTTATATGTAGCAGCTAGCTAAGCAAAATAAATGGTAAAAATGAAGAGGGTGATATAAGCTTTAAAATGATGTATAGATCATTATTAATGATTGATTAATGTGTGAAATATATTTCTCGATCTATACTAATTTAACTTAAAATTGTATTTCCTTTTGTGTTTTGCATATAAATATATTGCAAAGTAAAAATTTTATGAAATGTTCTATATATCTCTTAACTTTATACGATAGGCGCTCATTGGGATAGTCGATATTAATATCGATACCTGTTCATTTCAATAATATACTACGTGCTAAAGGTTATAATATGGACTATCGATAATTTTCCCAATGAGGGCCTATCGTATAAACTTAAGAGATATCGAGAAATATATTTCACACATTAATGATCTCACATCAATGCACCTCCTTTTAGGCAGTCTCTAGACCCCCCTATTGATTAATCTGTACTTATCTTTTGTTAGGCAGACACTAACCGCTACACCACTATATTTATGTAAACTAACTGATAGTAATAATTTAATTTATATCAATTCTTAATTGCTTCATTAATATTGCAACAGGTATGCCTCCAATAGGTCATACCATACCGTGGTGGCGATACCTGTATACCTGCCAATCCGCGGATCCCAGAATCCACTGATACTTACGTCAATCAGTCGTCCACTCCAGTGGGCGCTCCTTCCGGTCAAACACCCCACGGGTTGCTTGGGTTTGAGGTTGTAGTTTGGGGGTTAGGTAGAGAATTAACAGGTAAACGGTTTCATATATAAAATAAGTTACTTTATTATGTAATAAAAGAAACGATTCCTCGGCTTAGAGGAGAACTCACAGACACCAGACACTCGTACGTACAGTACGAGTAGTCCCTAGAGATAAGCTCCGATTGAAGGGAAAGTCAGTCCTTAAATAGACTGCTAAGGGTAAGGGTTGTGCAACAGCCCATAGGGGTCTGGTCCAGTGGTTGATAGCCAACCACAGGAGTTATACAACACAGAGAACACTGTATAATAGGCTATACTGTACTGGTATATGTATTTGGATTATACTATATTATGAAGATATGCTGCAATATTGATGGTCCCCTCACCAATTTATAAACCCTAAATATGTTTATGTCCTAGATAAACCTATGGAATGTCGGTTTTCGAAAATTTTGCTCCGATGCAGCACGTGTACTAGGTCCTATAAGCAATGGGACATTAAGGCGACCTTTCACCAAATTGATTAATGAGTATTACGACCATATTAAACGAGTGGCAGAAAGTGACTCCATATTAGATATACTGATCATGATATACGCGGCTAATATGGGACTCACCGTCCCTTACGACTACATTGTCAAACACCCCGACTATAAGCCCAACCCTTTAAGCGAAGTGTTTAGCTATAAGGCTTTGCTTCCCCACCGGGCGGTCGAGATTATCGGCTCATTCATTGACGCGAGAGAGCCATTGACACCGAATGAGGAACGGGACGCCATTAAAGTGTTTAAAAATTCATGGATATTGGAGACCAGGTTTCATATGCAACACTATTATGTGGAACTGTATGGATATTTCAGTGGCCCCACCCCCACCCCCACCCCAATCCAATAAAAAGCTGAAACTAAGAAATTGAATAACATGGAAACCCCGGTACATACGACTATTAAATTATCAGTAAATAAATGACAACTCATCTATTTATGTTATAGAATAAAATATATTCTGATGAAAATAAAGTGTTCAGGTGAAAAGGTGACAAACACAAGTCACATATACAGGTTATGCGAAAGGTCATGGGTGAAATTTTAAAAATGAACATGAAAATGCAAAAACTGCTCTCATTTAGTATTTGAATCATAAAAATCCAATTATTGCAATAGTAAAGCCACGGTAATACACTGTCAAATACAGGGTTGTTACTAAATAAGGAACCCATTTGGGAGGCTTGGCGTTTGGACACCCTGTACTATTTTTTGATGATTCCTTTTCGAAGGTGTAGAGGAAGAGTTAGATTTTTATGTGGTATATAATTTGTCAAG